ACCATTGACTGTAACATAATATTTAAGCCCAAAACTCAATTTTCAAAGTCGAATGAAATTCAAGTGGTCCTTTTTCCATCCTCATATTTCAATTCCACGCGCAAAATTTAATTTTGTCATCTAAAATATGTCATGACACAGAATGTTATATTAAAAAGGTATTGTCGAAAAAGAAAAAAATATATTCTTTAAAAAACAAGCTAAAAAAAAAAAAGTAAAACAAACGGAAAAAAAAGTACTTAATTATACCATAATCTGTGTGGAGTCATGTAGAGACGGGAGGGAATCCAGGCGGTAGGCGCAGGATCACGGAAAATTCAATAGTGTTTGCTTAAATTTTATATATTTATTGAAATATTTACTAAATATTTAACTCATAAACTTTAAAATTTTGACGCGACATTGAAGCAAAAAGATATTCATCCAATGTAAGTCCCAAATTCAGTTCACTCTCCACCATTTAAAGTGCACCAAATACAACATCAGAAAGGGACAATCATTATCTTAATTATTAAACTTGTAAAAATTTAGTGTATGAGCAACATACATCATTTATATCTTGAAAATTTTAAACACATGAAAAATGCTCTAGTCTATTTCTAATTAGGGGTGGAAGGAGAATGACAAAGAGAAAGAGAGTTATTTCTTTCCATGCTTTTTTTTTTTTTGTGGTTGATAAGCTTCAATGAGGGTCGATTCTCAGATTGTCACTTAACTAGTAATTATTATATTAAAAAGTCACATTTCTTTTTTATTTCAATACTTTTTAACAAATAGATTGATTTTGTGAGATAATAACTACTAGTCAAATGACTATATGAAAAATCAACTGTGACAAAAAAAAAAGGTGGCTTATAAAAATATATGGCTGTCTTTAACTCATGAATGTGTGTGAATATTATTATTATTATTAGTTTTATTTTAAAAATATATACGTTTGTGAGAGATCGATATTGACTAAAATACAAAGAAAATTAACAATTTATGAGAAATATAAAGTCTTAAACCCACAGTGGTCTCCAAACTTAAACCTTCTTATAAGTCTAATTATTTAGGGTAATATACTTCTATATAACAACAATAACAATATATTTGCCCAATGAAATTTCACAAATAAAGTTTAGAGAATGTAGAATATATACGAATCTTACCATTACATTGCGAAGATAGAGATGATGATTTTCGAAAGACAAAGGTAGAATATACACATATCTTACTATTACATCGCAAAGATAGAGATGATGGTTTTCGAAAAACGAAGGTTTAGAAAAAGTAGAATATACATACACATATTAAGCCGTTACATCGCAAAGATAGAGATGATGATTTTCAAAAGACGAAGGTAGAATATACGCAGATCTTATCGTTACATCGCAACCAAAAGTGATATTCTTCCTAAAAATAAATAAGAATAAAATGTCTGAGCCCGGGTTCGAACCGGGGACCTCTAGTGTGTGAGACTAGCGTGATAACCGACTACACCACCCAGACAAGCTATTGTGATTTTGTTGTCGAATCATGCAGACCACTGTAATTATATTTGTGTCTAATATATCTAAGTCTAATAATAAAAGCAAGAAGTTAAATATAGTTTCTAATGTCTTAATTTCACTATTCATAAGCATATAATATAATTTCTTTTCTGGTTTCAACTAGTACTAATATTCTGATTCTCAAATTTACATATACTTCAAGTTTGGGAAGAATTTAAAAAATAACATTGAATGAGATTTGGCTTCACAAATTTTAGTTTCTTCCCTTATTTGTACTCTATATATAACACAATTCTATCTTCTATTTAGTCTCTTGAATGTATAAGATTATTTCAGGTTTAGTCAAATTCTAGCTTTAAGTTAACCAATAAGGATGTTAATGTACTTGCCTTGTTACATGCATGTTGATAATTGATACATGTTGGTTAATTTAGATGTATTTATTGAGATATGATGGTGAGGCCTGAAAGTGCACAATTTGAAACATCAATAAAACCCAAATGACTTACTCTACAAAGCCCAAATAACTATGTGCGCATCTTTTACTTATTTCAAAAGGAAAAAACTACTATCTTATTATACAAACATTCCTACCATAAATACTAACTCATTCTATAGTTTGAAAAAGCTACATATTATCTCACTAATGAATAATTTCAGATTTAATTTAATTTTAAGTCAGATAACCACTCCTTCATATTTCAAGTCAGATACTAGTCTCATGTATCTTTAATACTAAATACATTCTTAAATGCATATACCTAGGGAGAGACGCGAGCCAAAGAAAGAGAGAGGCGAGTTAGAGAGTCAATATGCATTTTTTGATACTAGATACATTCTATATATATATATATACACACACACACACACACACATTGGGATAGAGACGAGAGAGTGAGGAGAGAGGCAAGCGAAGGAGTCAGTGTATCCTATATACATACGAATCACGCCTATATATATATATAGTGTATCTGAAATAAATTACACTTAATTTAACTCGCATGTATTCGAGATACATGTATCTGAGCACGCCAAATACATATACCTGGCGAAGTAAATGTGGTACGGAAGGTAATTTCAAAAACAAAAGTGAAGGCACTTAATTAGACTCTCAACTAGTGCAATTTGTGTTGATTTGCTCTTTCAATAAAGCCAGAAGTGCTCTAAAACTCACTGTATAAGAGGTTAGAGGGATTTACAATAATGACCTTGAAAATGAGTGGTCTTGAATTTTTTATTTCGGTTGCCCTATGGACAAATAAATTTTGCTCCATGAACAATATTTTTTATCTTGAAGATTTGTTGAAAGGACGATTGGGGTTCCTTGTAGTCTTGCTTCATTTTAAGAAGGGCAAATGGTCAAATATACCCCTGTAATATTGGAAATAGTTTAAATATACCTTTCGTTATATTTTCGGGTTAAATATACCTCTCCTGTTATACGTTTGGTCTAAATATACCATTCACATCATATTTTGGTAGTGATTTACCCTTACATCTAACTGATCGGGACACATGGACAGCTAAGATTAAAAGAATCCATTCAATTTAAAATAGACGCAATTATGATATAACCCGCCCCGCCCCGCTAACATAACTCGATCTAATCAATTATATTGACCTATCCAATTCAGTCTTCAAACAAAGAAAACCTAGTGCATGATTGAAGTTCTCTGTGGTATACTGTTGTTAACACATCCTTCTTTCCCAGTTTGTCTCATTTATTAAGCTCTAAAATCTCATTTCCTAATGATGCTAGAAAATTAAATGCTGCAAACCAAAAGCTTGGTTAACTTCATTAATAAGATAGCTGCCAACTAAAGTGTTCCTTACTGAATTTTTATATTAACTCGTGAATCAAATTTGTACTGAAAAGTGGTTTCTCTCAACAATCGATTAACCATCAAATTAATGGCTAGCTAAAAATTACTTCAATGTTTTGTAATTTTCCATTAAACAAAGAAGTTTTCTTCAATGTTCTGTTATTCTTCTTTGAAGATTGAATTGGGTGGTCAATATAATTAATTAGATTGGGTTATGTTATTAGGATGGGTGGGTTGTATCACAATTGGGTCTATTTAAAATTGAATGGATTCTTTTAATCTTAGTCATTCACGTGTCCCTCAGTTAAATATAAGGGTAAATCAGTACCAAAGTATGATGTGAGGGGTATATTTAGCCCAAAAGTATAACAAGAGGGGTATATTTAGCCCGAAAATATAACGAAGGATATATTTAAACTATTTCCAATAGTACAGGGGCATATTTGACCCTTTGCCCTTTTAAGAATATCCCAAAACAGTCATATTCTCATTTTCGTCAATTATTTCTTCTTAGATAACTATTTAGTATATAACCGTCTCAGACAATTTAAGGACCTCTTAAATCACGTAGGAAACACATTTCCCTTTAATAGGGTGGAGTATACAGTGTGAACCCACATTAGTCTAGGCCTCAAAACTTATACAGAACACTGGATAAGAAAAAAAAATGTCATTTTAGCAAAAGTACTTGTAAGAAAGTAATCAAATTCCTCATGCATTTACATGAAATCAATAAAATTATATACTATTTGAATAAAAAAAATGACACCTTCATCAAAGGAATTAAAAATAGCAAACGAGCGAGAGAGTCAGTGTATCTCATATACATATGAACCTCGCCTACATATATAGTATATCTGAAATAAATTACACTTAATTTGACTCGCATGTATCCGAAATACATGTATCTGAGTGCGCCAGATTATACATGCACCTGACGAAGTAAATGTGGTACGGAAGGTAATTACAAAAACGAAAGTGAAGGCACGTAATAATTAGGCTCTCAACTAATGCGTTTGTGTTGTTTCGTGCTTTCAATAAAGCCTGAAGTGCTTTGAAGGCCACTCTATAAGAGTTTAGGGTGATTTACAATACTGGCCTTGAAAATGAATAGTCTTGAATTTTTTATTTCGGTTGTCCAATAGACAAATAAATTTTGCTCCATGGACAATATTTTTTACTTTGGATCTTGAAGATTTGGCCATAGGACGATTGGGGTTCATTTTAGTCTCGCTTCATTTTATGAATATCCGGAAACAGTCATATTCTCATTTTCGCCGACTGTTTCTTTTTAGACAACTATTTAGTATATAACCGTCTTTTACAATTTCATGACCTCTTAAACCACGTCGGCAATAAATTTCCCTTTAATAAGGCGAAGTATACCGTGCAAACCCACATTAATCGAGACCTCAAAACTAATACAGACTCGATGAGAAAAAAAACCCTGTCACTTTAGCAAAAGCACTTGTACTAAAGTAATCAAATTCTTCATACATTTACATCAAATCAATAAAATTATATACTATTTGAATAAATAAAAAAACACCTTCATCAAAGGAATTAAAAATATTAGTAGTCCAATCTTCACCACACAAAAAAAAGAAAGTAAATTGAGTATGAACAACTTCTTTCATTACAGTTAAAATAAAACCATAAAAAACACATAGAAGCAAAATAACTAAAATAAAATTTAAAAAAGGTAGATTATTAAACAAACAAAATGAACTCTACATACAAAGAACTTTCAGTACTAGAAATACAAATTTGTCAAAATTACTTGACATGAAACTGAAGATTGCTCTGCTGATCCATCCTTTGTTTTAGAACCTATGTTCTTGAACCTGAAATTAAAAAAAAAAAAAAAAGACTTTATGTTAAAATCATTTTCGCGATTATATACTCTGAATTTAACTTATATACACTGACTGACTGACGTAGTTGCAGTATTGTACTTACGTCGAAACCAAAAAGTGATCTGCAGTAATTAGTGTGAGTAGTAAAGACACTACAATTTGATCCACATTCACTATCTTTGATTGAGATATTTGATTTATCAAGCTTGATTGACCAAGGATACTGATAATTTTGAGCTGTTGATCCAACATGTGAAGATGATCTCTGCATTTTCACAGCTCTTGGGACGTTTCGTCCTTCTATTGATGGTCTTCGTCTACTTGGTTGTCTCTCAAATGATGTTTGATCAGGACGTTGCTTTGGCGCACTGTGAGATCGTGCTTTAGCCATCGATGACTTAGTATTCGCCATGTAACTTGGATAAAATGGATACTCATTGAAAAGTGATTCAGGTTCTGCATACTCTGAACGAGCATAGGATGAGTATGGGATTCTTGATGGATCAGGTTTTGACATTGCGTTGTTATAGTATTGTGGACTGCTTTGTGTTGTGGGATATGATGTGTAGTCCTCAAAGTGTCCACTGTAGGCTTTTGGACTTTGATCTGTTATAGCTGATGGTACTGGAGAGATTATGTATTGATGATGTTCTTGATTTGTGTGCGCATTGTGTGTTGAAAATCCATGTTCTGTTCTCTCTGTTTGGCCTTGGTTTGAATAGCAATTTCTACTCTTTGTATTGCCTTTTGATTCTCCTAAATCCATTTCCACAATCTTGATGTCCTCTTCATAATCCTAATGGTTCATATAGATTATAGAACAAAAAGGTTTTTCACGAGTCAGATAGACAACCAACTGAGCTACTAAGATTCCTCTGGTTTAGTCATATAACAAAATTATATTGTGTATGAAACATTATAGAAATTTTGATGGAAGGAAAATGAAAATGTGAGACATACTTGATATGAGTGCCTAAATTTGTTGTCCTGAGTAGATTTTCTGTGAACAGATTGTCTTGGATTGTTGGGACTTTCATCTTCAGCCATTCGTATTCGTTGGGCTCGAGCTCGAGCTTGAACAGTCACTAATGCTTGCATACATCTGAGAGTTGCAGCAGCCTGTTTTCTCACTAAATGTCCTCTTACTAAGGCCTGCAACTTCACTAGTCCTTTTAGTGCATTCAAGGCTTTTCTTGCCTGCAGAGAGGTTGTCAATGCAACAGTTATATAAAAATGAAATCTTGGAACATAGATCAGAATGAATTGTGATGATTAATTATAAAACTAGTCGAGTTGATTTTTCAGATGATCACGAAAGTCACTTTTGACGTTCTGAGATAATGACGGTTAGTTGTGTGATCATCTGAGAAATCAACCTGAAATTTTCATATTACCAAATAACCACGGAAAACTGCTTGAATCTTGGCTGCTGCATCCTCTTCAAGTGCATAGGCTCTAGCAGCAGTAGTGAGTTGGATCGCTGCTGCTGCAGCCTTGGCAGCGGCTGCAGCTGCATCAGCAGCTGCAGCCGTTGCAGCTGCCACAGCTAGAACATGCTTCTTATGGTCATTGTCTGACTCAAGAAGTTCTTGTTTAGCTGTGGTGGCAACGATGTCGGTGCCACTCAAATCCCTCTGACCTGGTGAGGTGGCTGATGACCTCCTGAAACTCCACCTCTTCTTATCTTTAGGAGTTGTTGAAGGGACTGAAATTGGTGTTGTTGGTTGATGTTCATTGTTAGTAATAGAGTTTTGAATCTTTTCTCCTTCTAATTTGTCTTTCACTTTATCCTTTTTCCCTATCAACAAGTTCTTTATCCACCTACCTGTTTTCCCCATCCTTTTTGACAATCTTTTAAGCTAGCAAATGCATTATGAAAAGAGCAAATGAAGAAATGTAACTAAGTAGATTTATAGATAGAAAGAAACAAATGATTTGTTTGGATTTTGGAAGATGTTGTATATATTTTTAACTTCTATCTATTGATATGTCTATATCTTACTTCAATGAATGATTAGCAGCTTTGAATACCAGTTTGGCCTTTTTTATTGAATCAAGAATTCAATGTACTACCCCTCTGTCCCAAAATATAGTGTCGCTTTAGCTAAAACAGTACTCCCTCTGTCCCAATTTATATGACTCACTTTCCTTTTTAGTCAGTCCCAAAAAGAATGACACATTTCTATATAAAGTAATAATCTAACTATAAAATATTTATTTTACCCTTAATGAAATGATTTACAGCCACATAAATTTCTATCATTCATTTTGGACCACAAGTTTTAAAAATCTTCCTTTCTTTCTTAAACTCCGTGCCGAGTCAAAGTACCTCATATAAAATGGAACGGAAGGAGTATTTTCTTAATGAGCATGAAATGAATTAAAGCGATGATACGAAGAATATATATGCCTAGGTGTTAACTCCTATTGCATTCTATTCTCTATGCTTTGCTGTATTTACCACTTATATAAAAAGAATAAACTAACATGATCAAGTTATTGTCTTGATTGTCTAAATAAAATTAAATTTTTTTTTTGGAGGAATATAGGGTCATGTGAAGAAAAGAAATAGCAAGGAAACTACCCTATTAAAGCCAAGCTGTAAACTTGTGGGGAGATTATGGAATTGGATTCTTTACTCATTGGTGGATCTTTCTTTTTTTCTATCACCAACTTTTTACCATTTTTTATAAAATTGCACCCATTATTAGGGGTTTAGATCAGGATAATTTGGTAACTTCAATTTATTTATTCACCTTTTCTGATGCCTATAGTTATTTTATGAAAAGCCCATGTGGAAAAAAAGTCAATGAACATGCAAAATCCTTGTAAAGTACGCCTAGTCAAGATTGGAAGTGTTAGGTGCCACTAGGTTGTATTGGTGAAGTTGGCTCTATTTGAGTTTATTTGTGCACAAACAAGGTATGGTTTATATAGAAAAAATTACTTTTTTTCTGGTAACAGTCGAGAAAATAAGTTTCACAAGTGATATTATGCTTCTTTTCATCTTTTAATGCATCCCATTCCACTCCTATTCGATGGCGGAATTGGAATTTTACGCTATCAAATTATAGTGACCTAGAACAAGTAATTGTATATAAAATAAGAACATTTTTTTTCTTCATCATATTTAAGTCGACTCCATGATATTTTTGAAGTTTTGTTTTGGTTTTACATCCGGTGTTTGATGCTCGCTAGTAGCACTATTAAATTTGAATCACACACTGCAGGACCCATTAAAGAATAACGTTTTTCAACATAATTTTCTCTGTACTCAAGGTTCGAACCCAAAACTTCTGATTAAAAGCAAACCAATCTCGTCAATTCTACACCATAACTCATGTCGACAACTCCATGATATTTTAACCATTTGGTTATTGAAAGGCAAGGGGAGGGGAGTGGGATGGGGTGGGAGTGCATAGGGACCTACATAATTAGGGTATGGACCTCTTGGGAGGGGTGCCCCATGTGTCATCCTTTTCCAGATGTTGGGATTGAATACTACCACTATCATTTTCACCCCATGCTTCATGATCCAAGGTAGGTGTCACTTTTATATACACTTCAAAACACCATCCAAATACTCTATTCGTTCCATTCATTTTAATTATCGTGCTTATGAAACAAAACTAATTCAAAATTAAGATATAATTAGGTTCTCTTTGCATTTTACTCTCATTATTAATTAATTATTCTTAAAAGTAATAATACATTGATTACTTAGCATATATATATATAAAGTATTCTATATATCACAAAAATTGAAAATAGTACAAAGAAATTAATAATGTGCCAGGGAAGTTTTAATTGAGTAGTTTAAAATTTATTATGGTAATACGGATATAGCAGTCGGTGGGCAGACATTTACATTAATGTTTGGAAATAGACTTGTTCAACACAGCGACAGATGACATGAATATATTAGGTGTTCAATTATTAATCTCTTGCTCCATCTGTTTATTATTAATACTCCAGTCGTTTGATATTATTTGTCTCATGTTGATTCGATATTGTTTCATATTATTTGGCTCATGTTGATTCGATACTATTTTATAAGAAAAAAATAGTTAGAAGTGTGCTTTACTAAACTAATTTTATTATTGATATTTAGAAACTTTATATTTAGTCACTATTACTTTTATGTATTTACCATATAATATTAAGAATATTATAAGAAAAAAATAACAATACTTTCTTAATTTATTAAAATGAATTGAAATATTCGTTTTTGATATTAGAGTCTGACTAAATTTAGATTTGCATCAGAAAATCTCATATCAAGGGATAAAACGCTCTCTAACAAAGATGAAGAAGTTTCTTCTTCTTTAGTTATTACTCTCCCGTCCACTTTTAATTGTCATGGTTTCCTTTTTTAAAGTCAAACTATAAGAACTTAGACTACCATTTTACGATGCATTTTTTCATCATATTGATATGCAAAAGATTGCAATTTATAGTACTTTTCGTATAGTTTTTGAATGTCTAAATTTTTTATTTAAAATATTGAATTAATTTAATCTAATTTATCTTTGAAAATTAATCAAATTGACTTTCGAAAAATGTAACGTGACAACTAAAAATTGACAGAGGGAGTATGATTATAGATCACTTATTCCTTGTCATATATAATTATAAAAAAAAATGAAATTTATGAGTGGTACTTTTTACATATGTACTTACTAAGGGTGTCCATATATTTATTTCTTAGAGAAAATAAATGAGAATTCAATGTCATAACTAAGGGTGTATATGGTCGGGTTGGTTCGGATTTTTCAAATATTAAATCAAATCATTTGTGTTGGATTTTTAAATTTATAAACCAAACCAAACCAATAATTAAAACTTGGATTTTTTCGGAGTTTTCGGATTTTCGGATTTTTCGTGTAAAGTATTCATACAAACATATAATTTACTTGTACTTCAAATATTTCTTTAGTCCTACCAAACAACTATCTAAGGTGTTTCTTAAGAAAATAACACAAAATATGATATGATTAACCACACTAAAATATCCAACAAAATAATAATAATAATAATAATAATGAAATCGCGTAAAATAAATATTGCAAATTAACAAGTCATAATGAAAATGATCATAATTTAAAAGTATTAAATCATGCTAAAATAAGTTTAATAAGTATTAGTTACATGAATAAATATTAAAGGAAATTAAAATTAGATTATGTATTTTAATTGTCTAAACCAATGTAAAACTAAAGAACAAATATTCAATATTATTGTCATTCTTAGTGTTGAATTGATTTTCTTTTTGAATTAGTATTAATTTGATTTTGATTTAAGCTTTATTATAATTATCAACATGTGTGGACTATAATATTTATTGAACCATTCAGAATTCTAAGTTTCAAACTTGAAATAATATACTAAAAGATAAAAACTATGAAAAAGTATAAGAAATATTTAAAAGTTATATCAAAGTAAATATTTTTATGTATAAAATAAAATTTTAAAATTATATATATAATGTCGGGTTGGTTTGGTCTCGGGTTGGTTATTTTTAGTTAAAACCAAACCAACCCAAATATAATCGGAATTATTTTTTTCAATACCAAACCAAGTTAAACCAAATCACTAGTCGGATTTTTTTTTTGATTTGACTCAATTTGCGATTTGGTTCAATTTTGTACACCCCTAGTCATAACTTTACATTCAAAAACTTGGATATTGACACTCTTAATTAGTGAGCGTTAATTCAGTCATTAATATTTTTTAATTTTTTTCTAGAGTTAAATTTTGAAAATCATGTTTGATAGGAAAATTTCACTATTCAATTTTGTTTTCATTTTTTTTCTCTTCAAATTACTCATAATAATTTTAAAATAACTTCATTTTTTTATTTATGGCCAAACATAATTTCACGTTTTAAATACTCCCAATCCATATGCCCAAATCTAAAACATCAATTATTTTGAACCCAAAAAGTAACTAGGGATGAAGAAAGATAAGTTTAGTTGGATAAAAGAGATATTAGAAGTGGTCATTAATGGATTAGAGGTTGAGTTGGCTTTTTGTTAAAAGTAGTAATTAATTAGTTGGTGCATGAACACTGATTGATAAGGGTCCAACTCCGTGAAGACAAATAGCATATGGTTAACATTTGATGTTCCATTAATGGAATATAATTTAGTTAATGATAAGTGATTAGTTGGCAATCACATGTATTGTTTAGCATGTTCCCCTTAACCTCTAATGTGTTTGATTTGATGAATCACTATAGCTATCTCTTGGCGTTCTTTCTTTAATTTATCTTTTTGTGTTTAACCTTTTGATTTGATTAATCAAGGAATTTTATTTATTCTTGTTGTAATTTTAGAATATCACAAGTCAACAAGTCAACAAGAGTGAGTTGCTCAGATCCGAGTCACAAATAGAGCAATAAGATGAGAGCCTAGAATAAAAGAAAAAAAACACAATTATAAATTATATTTAACTTTGTGTCTAACTCGACTACTAATTATCTCATAAAAAGTCGACTCAAATCTTTCACGATTAGGTCTATAAATTATGGATCCACTTTTTTCTTAAATAAGAAAAATCTCATACGATTAGTATCAGTTGTATGAGATATCGTAATAAAGATTTTCAACTCCATGAAGACACTAGGTGTGAAATTGACAAGTGAAAATTTGAGTTGACTAGAGTCAACCACCTAAATTAAGAAAATTGCAAATTATGGATTTTTTATAGAAAATCATTGTGAAAGCCACTTTCATGTATGTACTCCTTCATCATTTTTTTTTTCTTTTTATCTGGAAAATATTTGCTCCAAATATATTTTTATTTTTTAAATATCAAGGCCAATATGGCAAAAATAAAATATTTATATGAAGTGTGTGTATATGATACGTATCAACTATCAAATCATGTGGGCACCAGTCCATACCCCTTCAGAAACATTCTGTACATTTTGTGTCGTTACATATTTTTTGTGATTATCTACTTATTGATTAAGGGTATCTTGTCTATAGAAGAAAATATTTTTCAAAAAATATTTAATATATGATA